ACTTAACGCTTTGATCAACTTTGATGTCAAAAATTGTCAAGGGAAAAAGTCAGCCCCTGAAACAATCCCTTGTGTTTTTTAGACCAGAGAAAGCGCACGTTAGCCGTGCGTGTTTGAAGAAATTCCGACAGCTACGCTATGCTAGGCTACAGCATTTGTGGAAAACTAGAGGTTATGAAATTAAGCACTGTTACTCTCTTATAGGCTTGGACAGGCGTTCTTAATGGGTGTATCAAGAATCCAATATAACGAAAAAAGCTTGTTGACACTTTGTCCCTGATGGTGGTTATGTGGCAAGTGTTTTGACAATAAATTACTGGAGGTTTTTATCTGATCAATAATTGAAAATCATGTAGCATATTGTCAACTATGCACGGCAGTTCATAACATTTCATATTGATAATTATGTTACAGTGCTTTGTGTTAGACTGTGACTGTCAGAGCAAAAGCTTTATTCGTCCTGGGAATACAATTAGGTCCTGTATGACTGCTTCACAAAACGTACACTGACCTCACCTTTAAGTTACAATCAAACTGTTTATCATTTTTCAAAAATCAAAGTTATTAATTTGGAGCCTTCACAACGATTTTAATTTCATCCAACATTAATAAAAATTCAATAAATTTAAATTAACATTTTGATAATGGACTTTATGAAAAGATTTTAAATTGTAATTATTAGGACAGAGGAGGAAGGTTTAATTTGGCTTGGTACACGACAATTAACCTTGATTAAGATACATTTTCTGTAAGGGAGTTGGCTAATGTCTATATTTGTTAACTCACGGAGGGCAATCTTTACACTTTCACTCCATTAACAGAAATGGGATATTTTTTTGGTTACGCATCACACTCCTGCTTGTGCCACTAGTATGTTTGTATTGCTTTCAATTCCATCCTTGCTAGAAATAAAAAAACGGAAAAAAGAATTTCGATTAATACGCTTTTTCCTCAACATGAGATTTCTCCGATTCAATTAAATACTCTGATTTTTCTGACTTTGACTTCATTTCAATGGGCCCTGCAATTGACCCTTCCTTTGAGTCTGAGTGACAGCTATAGAATGCTGATTATCATCTGCTTACACATCTGACTTAAGGAAGTGCTTGACCAATTACAGGGGACCAGGCACACAGTCGTAGACTATGACGAGGGGATGCCGATGACTTCTTGAAGAGATACCAGGAATGGGTTTTTTAAGACGCCTCTGATATTGATAGTTATTTTATTATCTTCTAAGATTGATGACGGGAAAGCTAATTATTTTCATACAGTTGATTCAAATTAGTAATTGGTGGTTATCAGACGTGTCCACATCCCGAGTCCGTTGACTGCTGATGAATCAGCTGCTGCTGAAGCTCACCTGATCATGTCCCACTTATATACAACATGGTTGGAGTGCTTCAGAACTTGTAAATGGAAGCAACAAACCCTTTACATGATTATAAGACGTGAGTGTTCCAGTGCTTTACAACATGACTTGGGTGTTTCAGTGCTTGTATACACAAACACTTGGTGTTCCAGTGCTTTACAACATGACTTGGGTGTTTCAGTGCTTGTACACCAACACTTGGTGTTCCAGTGCTTTACAAGATGACTTGGGTGTTTCAGTGCTTGTACACCAACACTTGGGTGTTCCAGTGCTTTACAACATGACTTGGGTGCTTCAGTGCTTGTACACCAACACTTGGGTGTTCCAGTGCTATACAACATGATTTGGACGTTTCAGTGCTTGTATACACAAACACTTGGTGTTCCAGTGCTTTACAACATGACTTGGGTGTTTCAGTGCTTGTACACCAACACTTGGGTGTTCCAGTGCTTTACAACATGACTTGGGTGTTTCAGTGCTTGTACACCAACACTTGGGTGTTCCAGTGCTATACAACATGATTTGGATGTTTCAGTGCTTGTACACCAACACTTGGGTGTTCCAGTGCTTTACAACATGACTTGGGTGTTTCAGTGCTTGTACACCAACACTTGGGTGTTCCAGTGCTATACAACATGATTTGGGTGTTTCAGTGCTTGAACACCAACACTTGGATGTTCCAGTGCTTTACAACATGACTTGGGTGTTTCAGTGCTTGTACACCAACACGTGGGTGTTCCAGTGCTTTACAACATGACTTGGGTGTTTCAGTGCTTGTGTACACAAACACTTGGTGTTCCAGTGCTTTACAACATGACTTGGGTGTTTCAGTGCTTGTACACCAACACGTGGGTGTTCCAGTGTTTTACAACATGACTTTGGTGTTTCAGTGCGTGTACACCAACACGTGGGTGTTCCAGTGCTTTACAACATGACTTGGATGTTTCAGTGCTTGTACAACAACACTTGGGTGTTCCAGTGCTTTACAACATGACTTGGATGTTTCAGTGCTTGTGTACACCAACACTTGGTGTTCCAGTGCTTTACAAGATGACTTGGGTGTTTCAGTGCTTGTACACCAACACTTGGTGTTCCAGTGCTTTACAAGATGACTTGGGTGTTTCAGTGCTTGTACACAAACACTTGGTGTTCCAGTGCTTTACAAGATGACTTGGGTGTTTCAGTGCTTGTACACCAACACTTGGTGTTCCAGTGCTTTACAAGATGACTTGGGTGTTTCAGTGCTTGTACACCAACACTTGGTGTTCCAGTGCTTTACAACATGACTTGGATGTTTCAGTGCTTTTGTACACAAACACTTGGTGTTCCAGTGCTTTACAAGATGACTTGGATGTTTCAGTGCTTGTGTACACAAACACTTGGTGTTCCAGTGCTTTACAAGATGACTTGGGTGTTTCAGTGCTTGTACACCAACACTTGGTGTTCCAGTGCTTTACAACATGACTTGGATGTTTCAGTGCTTGTATACACAAACACTTGGGTGTTTCAGTGCTTGTATACACAAACACTTGGTGTTCCAGTGCTTTACAACATGACTTGGGGTGTTTCAGTGCTTGCACAACAAGACTTGGATGTTTCAGTGCTTGCACAACAAGACTGATATCGTTCAATAATGGTCAAATAGCCAATTGTCATCCACCGACTTTACCCACCTGAACTAGAAATAAAAGAGACCCATAAAACACCCACAAGAGGGATGATTTCAACTCTCCAAAGGTCAACTTTCCCTTTAGAAATCGAGCCATATTCCAAGAACTCCAACCTTTGTTGTCTACATTACACAACTTGTGAGGCACAATCGCGCATCTTCTTTCTACGAAGATTTCAAACAGCATCATTTGACGCTTGCTCAAAAGAAGTTTGACCTGGGTTACAACTTTGAAGTCCTTCGTAAAGCTTTCAAAAAGTAGACGTGTGGAGGATATTTCCACATTTGGCGCAGTGATCAGCATGTTGTCTGATGCAATTCCATATTTTCACTTGTACCATATGTTCCCGTGTTTGTTCAGGTTGACAATTGACTTGCCTTTGCATGTGTTTGTGACGGGTGCCAGCGGTAGGGCAGGGTATTCTCACATTTTCGCAAATATGTGGTATCATCACTATTTGAAGGTGATTCAATACATGCTTATGATATAGTTGGAATCGTACAATGAATCTTTCTTGTGGTTATGGAAAAGGATTTTGTTTCTTTTAGTTATGTAGCTCCTTTTCACGAACACCTTTTGTTTGTTGTTCAATGCCGCACTCCGCAATATCCCATCCACATTACGTACTGTACACGATCGAGTATAGACCTGACAAGGATCGATCAACGCAATTGGATGGTTGTAGTAAAGCGAGCCATATGACTGCTTATCTTGTCTGGTGCTCGGCATTAAGGGACTAATACAAGGACTGGTCGGCTCAGGGTCAGTACACTGTGTCTGAGTGGGATATTCATGTTAAACTGCTGCATGGTATCTCAGTTGGCTAGCTTATGTAAATCGGCATCAGTCCGGCTCCTAGTACAAGCAGACATAAACGCACGCACGCACGCACGCACGCACGCACAAACACACACCAACACACTTTATATAAGTACTGTAATCTTGGACGCGACGTTAAACCCCATTTCACCTCACCCCGGACCCTGAAACAAATACATCCAATACAGCCCATGCAAGTCTATAATGTTTTGCAAGTCTAGATTGCTGCAGTATCTGAAAATGAGTAAAGTCTATGATCTCCTTTTTATTATATTTTATAACTATGATTTAACAACTGTTTATTTCTGTAAAATATGGTCATTTCAAAGACTAGATGTTAGTCTACTCACCTCTTTACTTAGCAGCATGTCATCGATCCCAATTGCGTGGAGATCGGTGCTCATGATATCAATCACTGGGTTGCCTGGTCCAGACTTGATTATTTACAGACGGCTGTCATATCGCTGGAATATTGCTGAGTGCGGTGTTTAACAACAAACCAACCAACCAACTTTACTTAGCATGAAATGAGTTCATTGATACAGATCTCCACAAATGTTGGGTAGTTGTACAATCAGAGAGTACTTTCATAGTTATACAAATGATAATCTACACGAGTGAGACATGGGTGCTTTAAAAGTCACACAAATCTACAGGGATGTTGGGGAGATTTACATCATGACGTGTGCTTGAGTCACACAATTCTACGGGGGTGTTGGGGAGAATTACATCATGACATGTGTGCTTGAGTCACACAAAACTACAGGGGGGTTGGAGAGATTTACGTCATGAGATGGATGCTTTTATAGTCGTACAGGTCTAATGGGTTTTGGACAGATGTACTGCATGACCCGAGTCTTTTTATAGTCCTGAGCTCTTCCAAAGCTTCCATAGCATGACGATGTAAGGACAAACGCTCTGGCACTCACACTGCTTTTGAAATATGGCAATGATTACACACAACACTGCAAACTGACACTTTTATTCCCGCACAATGTCAGAATAGCATAAGTTGAAGTGACGTAGATGGATTTAATGTGTGATGTATAGCGATCAGCTGGATCATAATGATTATAAATGGGACATTGATGATAGTGATAATAATGATGATGATGATGATGATGATGTTGTTGGCAGAGACGACGACGACGATGATGATGGCGGTGGTGGTGTTGTTGATGGCAAAAACGACAATGATGATGTTGGTTGTGAGGATTGTGATGTTGGTCGTTGTAATGATGATGGCAGTGATTATGATGGTGATGATGATGTTGGTTGTGAGGATTGTGATGTTGGTCGTTGTAATGATGATGGCAGTGATTATGATGGTGATGATGATGGTGGTTGCGGGAATGGTGATGTTGGTAGCTATCATGATGATGGCAGTGAGAATGATGGTGATGATGATAATGATGATGATGATGATTGTGGTTGCGGGAATGGTGATGGTGGTTGCTATCATGATGATGGCAGTGAGAATGATGGTGATGATGATTGTGGTTGCGGGAATGGTGATGGTGGTTGCTATCATGATGATGGCGGTGAGAATGATGATGATGATGATGATGGTTGCGGGAATGATGAAGGTGGTGATGTTAGCGAAGATGACGACGATGATGATGTTGGTGGTGGGGATGGGGACAACGACGATAATGATGATGATGGTGGTGGTGGTGGTGAGGTGTAATAAATATTACATGGATGATGGTAGTGGGATGATGATGATGATGATGTTTGTTTGTTATTTAACGCCGCACTCAGCAATATTCCAGCTACATGACGGCGGTCTGTAAATAATCGAGTCTGGACCAGACTATCCAGTGATTGACATCATGAGCATAGATCCACGCAATTGAGAAATTGAGATCGTCGGCTTTTACTGCAAGCATGGGTTGCTGAAGATCTATCCTTGCCCGGATCTTGACGGGTCTGGTGATGATGGTGGTGGTGGTGGTGGCAGAGACGACGATAATGATGTTGGTTGTGGAGATAATGATGAGGGTACCGATGGTGGTGGTCCTTGTAATTATGATGACAACTATCTGACTTATTAAATATTAAGTCCTTTTGGTAGCTGGACAAGCTTCTATGTTGACATAGGGGTGATTACAGATTCAACCTAGCTCATATTACATTCTGCCTTCTCCACAAAATGGATGATTTGGCTTCTCGATTGAGCAGCTGGCAAATATGGCAACAATGCATTCATGGCCATTGCCGCTGACCAAATAGAAGATTTAGTTAGTCATCGCAGCAGTTGGACAAGTGAAGGAGCTGATCTACATGCATAAAGATTAGTCCCCACAGTCCTCTGGCTGATTTACTGTTATTTCCTCTACAATTGTCCTGGAGTGGTCAAGTCTGGCCAACACATGGTAATCACCGACCGCTGGGGACGCCTAATTGGAAACCAGTTGCTGACCTCTGCTCTGGTCATCATGGTGTGTTCGGGGGATATGTTCGATAAACGGAAACAGTTCCTGCTGTGACATGCAAGTTCGTAGTATTCATTTGAATAGGGCTGTGAAAATATTGAAATTGAATTCCCATGCTAAACATTCAGCCGATGTATTTCCAGATTTCTTTCCTGATTTACGTTTATTTGATGACTTTACAGATGATGGTTTTTAAAAAAAACCTTAATGTATTACCGTTATATGAACTTGATATTCTTGTTATTTTTCTTATACAAACTCTGCCGGCATATAGCTAGAATATTGCTAGGTACGACGTTAAACAACAAACAATAAATCTCATACAAACTGAAAATTGGTGGAAACTGTTTTGTTTGCTTGTTGTTTAACGCCGCACTCAGCAATAGTCCAGCTATATGACGGCGGTCTGTAAATAATCGAGTATGGACCAGACAATCCAGTGATTGATATCATGAGCATCGATCAATGCAATTGAGATACGATGACATTCATCAACCAAGTCAGCGAGGATGAAAACTGATATTAATTTCTTTACAATAACAGTAGGGATTACTAAAAATTCATACATGGAGATCTCATGTATTTGTACTATACTGCTATATCAGTTGTATTTTGCCTTAAATTCAGCTTGTTTACTAATGTGATTGGTAACACAAATATTTCATAAATAAATTCCATTACATGAGATTTGGTGGATTGGGTTAGATGCCTCTTACACTGACAAAACGTTAAAAAATAGTAGGGTATATATAGTACAGTGAAAATATGCTACCTTTGGTGGTAAATTTGTGCTTTTTTTTATTATTTAACGCCGCTTTCAGCAATTATCCAGCTATATGAGGGCGGTCTGTAAATAATCGCGTCTGGACCAGACAACCCAGACTTGCAATTTGATGTGGAGAGGATTTACAAAATTCCGGTTTACTTAATCATATATATACATTTTTGCTTGCTTAATAGATTACCTTCAAATCAGATCCATTTGCGTTAATTTCCTTTATTTCAAATATCATACCCAAATACATCCAATACGTGCAGTCATTTGCTTCAAACATCTTTGGAATATTCTTTGGCTGAACACCTTGCATTCAAGAGGGTGCAGCCTCCCTCAACTGAATCCCCAATGCCATCTTATTTGTTGTTCAGTTTGTCTCATTGCCTACCCCTGGATCACGAATACTACTAAAAACAATTTCCAAAGCATTGAGAAATGAGTGCGATTTGAAGTTCAATTATTGAAAAGATATCGAAAAAATAAATTGCTATGTTTTGCGTACACAATTATTTTTTAAATGTTGAATCTGCACAACAAATGCGATTTCTTTTGCGTCCCCCTTTCCACATTGCTGAGACCCGAATACCCTCTAAATAAGACACGACCCGTGAAGATTCCGGGGTAGAATAGGTCTTCGGCAACCCATGCTTGCCGTAAAAGGTGACTATGCTTGTCGTAAAAGGCGACTAACGGGATCGGGTGGTCAGGCTCGCTGACTTGGTTGAAGCATGTCATCGATCCCAATTGCGTGGATCGATGCTCATGATATTAATCACTGGATTGTCTGGTCCAGACTCGATTATTTACAGACCGCCGTCATATAGCTGGAATATTGCTGAGTGCGACGTTAAACAACAAACCAAACCAACCAACTAAATAAGACACCAAAATGCCACGTAACAAAAAAGGGGTTGGCAGCCTCATTAAAAAATCTAAACATCACACCAAAATACATCCTCTTGTTTTCAACACAAGAACACACTTTGTTCATAAATTCTAAACAAAACGCCAAACACTTTCAATCGCAAACACTAGTTTAATAAGCGTGCATCTTTATTGTTCTTGGGCATCGTGTATTCAAAACCATAAGTCAAAACATCGCCCCCAAACACAGCCGGTAGGATGCCAACGGTCAGCCCTGGTGACGGTCATTATCAGTCCAGCAGGCCTTGCTGGCCCACAGCTAGAACATGTGCTGAACCCCACTCTCTCCCTTCTCTCATTTTTACCTCTAATCCAATCAATTAAGGCCGATTGCTTTGATTTCCCTGACAGGGCTGTACAAAGTGGGCACACGTCTCGCATGTGCCGAGCATGCCAAACAGAGAATTGAAGGCAAGTCAGCCAGTTAAATGAAGCACATGACGAAAATACTGTGGTGTCATTCCTATAGCAAATTTAGATTAAGGAGAATGGAGTGATGTTAAGAATTTCAATACAGTTGGGAAGGTTTTATTAACTCTTGGCTTGATGTTTCTGAATGACCGAACCAAAGATAATGGGTATTTTCGCTGAAAATTCAAAATTAATTTATTTTGGTTTTTTCCTTCGTGTGTTTTAGAAAGTGAACTCTTATTTGATGATAAAATAAGGAGTTTAAAATTCAACATCAGAGATATTAATTTTTCATGTAAAGCTTGGATACACTTTCTGCTTTAAAGAGTTTTTAATTAATCAGCCATGGTTTATGTACTTTTGTCGAAGTTGTTTTCTTGTAAATGTCTACTGATGCCTTTGATCTTGTTGACTGCTTTATGTACATTGAAAAACATCCCTTAAGGGAAGGGAGCTCTGTATAAGCCTTGGTGTTGTTAAGGCAATATCACATGGAGCAACTCTGGCTGTTTAAGCCACTCAATAGTTTGTCATGCTGACCTTGAAACAAATATATACAATACAGCCAATGCAAGTCTAGATTTCTGGAGTTTCTGATAATGAAGAACATCTCTTAGCTCCTGTATCATATTTGATAACAATAATAGCTGTTTTATTCTGTAAAATATGTTCATTTCAGAGACTATATGTTAGTCTAGCCATGTAGCAATATCCAGCAATGTCACAGTAGTGTAGTCCTTGGTAATCAAACATAGGCATTTGGTATAAGGAGGGACATCTTTACAGAGGCATACAGGATTTTAAAATGTGGTTGGTTGGTTTGTTGTTTAACACTGCACTCAGCAATATTCCAGCTACATGACGGCGGTCTGTAAATAATCAAGTCTGGACCAGACAATCCAGTGATTGATGTAATGAGCATCGATCCTCGCAATGTGGGATCGTTGACGTGCATCAACCAAGTGAGCAAGCCTGACCACCTGATCCTGTAAGTAGCCTTTTATGACAAGCATAGTCGCATTTTACGGCAAGCATTGGTTGCTAAAGATCTATGCTACCCCGGTTCATGGGTCTTGAAATGTGGATATACACACTATGGAAAAGTGACCAAGTGAACAAAAGACATGACAGGTTGAACAAGGTATGGGTGTCCTACCCTGCATCCCAACTTTGGATCCTCTAGTGCTTTTAACTTCCAGGCGAAACTGATACTCCCAAGGTGATAGTAGCTGTATATAATAGGAATGATATGAGTTATTTCCCTTTGAGTGATTACATTTTTTGTTATTCAGATTATGTATTGGATACAGGTCATATTACTCACTGTTTGAAATAATGAATACAGGTCATAATGCTTACTGTTTGAACTAATGAATACAGGTCATTTTGCTTACTGTTTGAACTAATAAATACAGACGAAATACAGGTCACATTGTCTGCTGTTTGAACTAATGAATACAGGACATATTGTCTACTGTTTGAACTAATGAATACTGGTACAGATCATATTGCTTACTGTTTGAACTATTGAATACAGGTCATATTGCTCTTCTGGACCAATACATGTCATATTGCTCACTGCTTATGTAATACAGGTCATATTGCTTACTGTTTGAACCAATAAATGCAGGTCATATTGCATTTTGTTTGAACCAATAATCATATTGTCTACTGTTTGAACAAATGAATACCGGTACAGGTCATATTGCTTACTGTTTGAACTATTGAATACAGGTCATATTGCTCTTCTGGACCAATACATGTCATATGTTGCTCACTGCTTTTGTAATACAGGTCATATTGCTTACTGTTTGAAATAATGAATACAGGTAATATTTCTCAGTGCTGAAGTAATACAGGTCATATTGCATACTGTTTGAACCAATAAATACAGGTCATATTGCTCTTCCGAACCAGTGCAGGTCATATTTCTCACTGCTGAAGTAATACAGGTCATATTGCAAACTGTTTGAACCAGTAAATACAGGTCATATTGCATACTGTTTGAACCAATAAATACAGGTCATATTGCTTACTGTTTGAAATTTTGAATACAGGTAATATTTCTCAGTGCTGAAGTAATACAGGTCATATTGCATACTGTTTGAACCAATAAATACAGGTCATATTGCTCTTCCGAAC